AGCCTATGATCTTTATAATCATATATAGAGGACAAGATAGAAACACCCAAGGCCTGTCCTCTTGAGAAACTTAGGTGCGAGCGTTTCCCGGCCGGTTAGGGCAATTTAGGCGGAGGTGACCTCTAATTCCGCAATACATACAAAGACCCTCCCTTCTCCTGTACTGTCTTTCCTCCTCTGAGAGTCGAGTATTACCTATTTGCATAGGTTCTGGGAGAGCTAAAGTAGTAGAATCAGAAGTCTGAAATGAGGGAGCTAGTCTTATGGAGGATCTGCGGGTTCTATCCCGAATATTCTGCCTCTGTCTCATACGTTCATCTATTCGGGAAATAAATGAAATCAGATCCTCCAAATTTTCAGGAAGATCTCTTGTGGCCACCTCATCTAAAATCTCATCAGATAACCCGTTCATAAATACGTCCATATAAGCCTGTTCATTCCACTTGACTTCTGCCGCCAAGGATCTGAACTCTAAAGCATAATCCACTAGGGTTCGGTTATACTGTCTAAGACGTAACAGTAGTCTAGCTGCATTGGCCTTTCTTCCTGGAGGGTCAAAAGCTCTCCTAAATGCAGCGACAAAAGCATTATAATTATAAACTAACGGGTTATCATTTTCCCACAGGGGGTTAGCCCATCTAAGTGCCTTGTCAATGAGCAAGGTAATTATAAATCCAACCTTCGCCCTGTCAGTAGGGTAGGCGTGGGGTTGTAACTCAAAATGAATACCTATCTGGTTTAAAAAACCTCGACAAGTGTCAGGAGCGCCGCCATAGCGTGACGGGGACGTAACACGGGAAGAAGTAGCCACTGTGGCTACCTCTAGGCCTGTACTTATAGGAGAGATAGATGGGGTACGCATCTCCTCTGAGTGATTACTAGGACGAGATAGCAATGCTTGCAGAGCTAGAGCCATCTGGTCCATTCTATGATCCATGGCCTCAAATCTAGAGTCAGGAGAACCGACCTGAGAGTTTGTACCTGCAGGATCCATTGCCCTGTCGTAATGTCAGGATCGTGACAGGGATCCAACACGCAGAATACAAACAGGAGATAGGTACGTATACCGGACCTTAGAATGGCCGGACTAACGTAAGGAGAAAGCAAAAGAATGGTCAGAGACAAGCCGAGGTCGAGGGAACGAGAGATCAGGTAAGCGAGAGACAAGCCGAGTCAAAAGGACAAGAGAGGAAAGCAGGGTCAAAATACAAGCCGAGTCAGGAACCAAAAGACAATAGAGGTAATTGCACTGAGTGACCAGACTAGCTAGAACCACGACAGGGCAATGAATCATTCCACAGAACCCTTTTTTATACCTTGGCTCTTTAACTGTTGGCTCCGCCCCCAACGAGTCCTGATTCGTTGTTCGGCACTTGGTTGCCGTGATTGACGGGTCGGAACGTGATTGCCGTCATGACGTCGGCTACTGAGCGCCGCGTCATAAAAGGAGGCGGAGCTATCGCGGCCGGCGTGTAAACGACCGGGAGGAGTGCAAGGATCGGGTGAGTCAGCCCCCCTGGGAGGATGGACGTCTAGGTGTCTAACCTCCTCCGAGGTAGACACCAAAGGTAACCTGACACGAAGGTCCTTTGGGCAGTTGAGGGAAATCTTTGATCTTCTCACCGGCCCTAGATGGCCCACAGCAAGAAAGCAGGTCTCCTCTGTCAGCCTGGGCACAAGGGCATCACGGTGGGGCCCCCATGCTTGTGGAGCCCCCTGGTAACTGCCCAGTGTGCCCATGCGGAATGATGACCCTGCACACAAGCTCACTAAATACAAGCTCATTGACACACAAGCTCACTACAGACAAGCTCCATGACACACACACAAGCTCACTTAAGAAAAGCTCCCTGACACACAAACACACACACAAGCTCACTGACACACACACAAGCTTTCTCACGAGCAGGTGCATACACACACACACAAGGCTGAGTATATCAAGCCCACCTGGTTCTGGAGGCTGTTGCTGGGAGGTCAGGTAGCCATCTTGGACCTCTTCCTCCTGCAGCATGGTGTGCTGCTTAGCAGGGGTGGAGCTTTTGCGAGGGAGGTGGAGCTAACACACGTGGGCAGAGCTTGCGTCGTGGGGGCAGAGCCTGCGGCCGTGAGGCAGAGCAACAGTCTGTGTGTCGGGGAAGCTACTGGGAATTCGGAAGGGAAACTGTCAGTGCTCCTCTGGCCCCAGCAGCCTCAATGCAGCCCCCAGCACCTCCCTCGTTAACTCCCTCGGACTGTAACAGGGAAAATAATGAAAGCGCATGGCCCAGCAAGTTGCCAGGATTGTCCTGAGAGAGTTAATTGGCCGTGACAGACTCCAGCATGCCGCGACAGTTGTCAACCATGTAAAAGCTCGTCAAATTCTGCAAAATTATATTTCTCAAAACATACCATTGGTAAAAAAATATAAAATAACCAAATTAAAACCCATTGCTTAGTAAAAGCTTCAATCAAATAAAAAAATGATAAAAAAGGTCATTTAAAAAAAATTCAATCAGAGGGGTCAATAGCATCCTATAACAAATATAAGCTTGCCAATAGGGCTTGCAAAAGGAGATTAGATGGGCTACATTTAAAAATGTAAAGCTCATAGCCAAAGAGAGCAAGACCAACCCCAAAAAGTTCCAACATTAATAGAGACTAAAGGAACACTATAGGATTAGGAATACAAATGTGTATTACTGATCCTATAGTTTTTAAAAATGATTTTAGCTGGTCACCCCCTTCCCCTTTAAAAAAGGTTAAAACTAACATTTATTCCAGCATGACTGGGGTCTACTGGCAATGGGTCTGCCCATGCTCCACCTCCTTTCACTTAAATCATCAGCATTGATGATCTCAGCCAATCCAATGCTTTCCCATAGGAAAAGCATTGGGAGGCTAAGGCGAATGCGCTACAAAATGACTTGCTGCATCAATCAGCATCTCCTCATAGCGATGCATTAAATCAATGCATCTCTACGGGGAAAGTTCAGTGTTTCCATGCACAGCGTGGATACACTCAATGCCAGTGCTGCACACTGTGCAGCTCTTACCCAGGAAGCACCTCTAGTGGCATTCCAAGTAACTTCCACTAGAGGTGTTCCTACGCTGCAGTGTAAACACTGCCTTTTCTCTGAAAAAACAGTGTTTACATTATTATAGGTCTGCAGGGACAGACTATACACACCAGAACAAGTACATTAAGCTGAAGACTATAGTGACCCTTTAAGAGTGAAAATGTTGGTTCATTGTAAAATGTAAATTGAGATGGGAGTATTAATCAAGTACGATCAGGACAAGGTAGAAATTCTAAAAAAATATTTTCAATATATACAGAAGAAGAATCTGTGGCTGTGGATTTGCACCCATGTTACAAAAGCATCACTGCCAACAGGTGATTGTTTAAAACAGAATAAAGTGTTACATCAATTAAATAAATCAATTAAAGGACCACTATAGTGCCAGGAAAACATACTCGTTTTCCTGGCACTATAGTGCCCTGAGGGTGCCCCCACCCTCAGGGACCCCCTCCCGCCCGGCTCTGGAAGGGGAAAGGGGTAAAAACTTACCTTTTTCCAGCGCTGGGCGGAGAGCTCTCCTCCTTCTCTCCTCCTCCTTCCTCCTCCTGGGCTGAATGCGCACGCGCGGCAAGAGCTGCGCGCGCATTCAGCCCGTCGCATAGGAAAGCATTTACAATGCTTTCCTATGGACGCTGGCGTGCTCTCACTGTGAAAAATCACAGTGAGAAGCACGCAAGCGCCTCTAGTGGCTGTCAATGAGACAGCCACTAGAGGATTAGGGGGAAGGCTTAACCCATTCATAATTATAGCAGTTTCTCTGAAACTGCTATAATTATGAAAAAATGGGTTAACCCTAGAAGGACCTGGCACCCAGACCACTTCATTAAGCTGAAGTGGTCTGGGTGCCTAGAGTGGTCCTTTAAATCAAGTCTGTCATGCTAAAGTGTAGTTTTGCTAGCCCTGAATGTAATTGTTCTGTTCACCTATATGCATTCCTGAGTTTCTGAACAGGCATTGCACAGATCTGCCTGTGTTCTCTGGTCCTGGAAAATATAGTCTTACTACCACTAATCAAACATTACATTTCTGGATTTAAGCTCATGTTTGCCTACCTTAGTGCAATCGCTTGATGTATCCCAATAACTTTGGACTATCTAATATGACAGTATATAAGTCTGACCCCTTTGCTGGATTTGCTCAAATATAGACTGTTTTTGCTTGGATAATTGTATGTGTGTCATCTATGAAAAGGATGTGTGCCTCTCTCTATCCATTGTACTGGATGGTTCCATTATTTGAATCTGGCAAACACTTACTACAAGGATAAGAAGATAATCAGCCGGTTCCCTCGTTGTGTATGTATATATATTCTTGTGGTCAAGTAGATTGCCAGCTGGGAGAGATCTGAGGGAGGCTGTATTCACCAATATTGATAAGTATCCTTATATATAAGTATTATTGGTTTAGGTACATTTCTTTGGTTTCTTCTGTCTGTCTGTATGTCTGTATGTCTGTCGGTATGTCTGTATGTATGTATGTATGTATAGCATTATGAATGTATGTCTGTCAGTATGTATGTTATTATGTATGTCATTATGTATGTCTGTATGTCTGTATGTCTGTATGTCTGCATGTATCAATGTATGTCTGTATGTATGCATGTATCAATGTATGTCAATATGTATGTCTGTATCAATGTATGTCAATATGTATGTCTGTATATATGTCTGTATGTCTGTATGTATGTATGCAAGTATCAATGTATGTATGTATGTATATATGAATGTATGTTTGTATGTTTGTATGTATGTATGTATGCCAGTATCAATGTATGTCTGTATGTCATTATATATGTATGTATATATGTATGTCTGTATGTCAGTATGAATGTATGTCTGCTTATTAGTATGAACGTATGTCTGTGTGTATGTGTGTATGGATGTCTGTATGCATGTATGTCAGTATGTATGTATGTCTGTCAGTATGTCTGTATATATGCATGTATGTCAGTCTGAATGTATGTATGTCTGTATGCAATTATGAATGTATGTCTGTGTATGTCTGTATGCCATTATGAATGTATGTGTGTATGGATATCAGTGTCTGTATGTCTGTCAGTATGTGTGTGTGTATGTATGTGTGTATGTATGTTGGTGTCTGTATGTATGTCAGTGTGTATGTATGTATTTATGTGTCTTTATGTCCTCATGCATGTGTGTCTGTATGTATGTTAGTATGTGTCTGTCTGTTACTATGTATGCATGTGTGTATGTCTCAGTATGTATGCCTGTATGTGTGTATGTCTGTTTCAGTATGTGTGTCTGTTAGTATGTATTTGTGTCATTTTGTATCAGTGTGTGTGTTTGTGCCTGTGTGTGTATTCCTGTGGGCGGTATTTGGAGGCGGACCAGTCTGCGGTATTTGGAGGTGGGCCCAGACCCTGAGCTGAGTTAGGGGCCCCAAAATTTCTGGTGGCGGCCCTATCTGTCACACCCAAATTTAAATAAGTGAAAAATATCAGGTGTACACTGCATTTTATTAGTACATTCCTGCACTTTCTTAACCCATAAAACTTTACCCTACCTTCACCTGCTCTTGATATTCCAATTATTTCCAATTTACTTTTTCCCAGTTTAGCAATGATTTGTCTTCTCCTCCTCTTTATTTTCTCCTTCTCCCTTGGTATAAAAATATCTCCTTACACCCACTTCACTCATCACCCCATCCAAATTTACATATGCCTCTCTCTGCTCCCCTTCTCTCCTCTCATGCCTTGCACTCATTTTTCTACTCTCTCACTCCTACCTACAATCGATCTCATCCTAGACCCCATGCATACAAAACCCATTCACACCTCCTGTGACTTTCTCTCCTCCTGCTTTTGCTGGCGATGTCTCTCCCAATCCAGGGCCCTTCACCTTCTCTACACACACCAAGAAAATCAGAAACCCCACAAACCCCATCACAATACCCTGCCCTTTACCCTCACTTACCAACATTCACTTTGCAGTAATTTAAAATCAACAGACATACACGACTTTTTCATCTCAAACTCACTCACACTGCTGGCACTTACAGAGACCTGGCTGTCCCCCTCTGATAGTGCTACTCCTGCCTCTTTAGGTTTTGGTGGGCTACAATTCTCCCACACTCCCAGACTGTAAAGTATGTGGTGTAGGCATACTTCTCTCCCTTCAATTTACCTTTCAACCTAACATAACTCCCCCTGCCCTATCTTTTTATTTTTTTGAAGTTCACACTGTCCACCTATTCATCTACCGCCCCCTGGTCATCCTTGGCTATTTATTTATTGAGCAGTTTTCTTCCTGGCTTCCCCACTTCCGCTCATCTAGCACTCCTTACCTTATACTTGGGGATTTTAATATACCAATCAACAACTCCAACTGCAGCGATGGCCTTACATAATGGTCCAATTTAGCAACCCATACAGTGGGAAACACTTTTGATATCGCCTTCACCAATCTCTGTACCACCTCTAATCTCTCCAATATTCCTTTTCCTCTATCTGACCACCATCTGCTGACTTTTGACATCAGCATACCTAAGACCTAATTGACACCTCCTTCTGAACATCAATCTCACAGAAACCTCCAATGTCTTGACCTAGAGCATTTCTCCACTAATCTCCAAACTCTCCTTTTACCTATCTCAAACCTCACCTGTCCTAGTTCTGCAACCTCCTTCTACAATTCCACCCTCTCCTCTAAACTAGACATCATGGCACCTCCTACATTTAAACGCAGTAAGCTCCCCCAACAACAACCTTGGAACACCAAGCTGACTCGATATCTTCAAAAATGCTCCAGAACTGCTGAATGCTGTTGGAGAAAGTCTCACTGTGCATCTGACTTTCTCCACTATAAATGTATGCTGCGCTCATACAGCTTGGCTCTTTCCTCTGAAAAAGTAAATTACTTCAATACCCTCATAACCACACTCTCCCACGAACCCAAACGACTATTTCACACATTTAACTCTTTTCTTCACCCTATTTTTCCTCCTCCACCTGCTAACTTGACCGCCTCAGACTTTGCAACTCACTTCACTGACAAGATCTCTACAATCAGGGAAGAGATCTCTGATCTTTCTTCTTCCTCTTACAATACTTCCTCTAAATGTTCATTCGCACCTTCTTCAGCGGAAGAGGTTTTTGCTCTGCTCCAGTCCTCCTGCCCCACCACCTGCTCCCTATATCCAATTTCCTCGCATCTCATCCATACTCTGTCTTCTTCTCTTTCTCTACCTGTCACTAAAATTCTTAATCTCTCTCTCTCCTCTGGCATATTTCCATCGCCCTTCAAACATGCAACTGTAACCCCAATTCTAAAGAAGCCCAACCTTGACCCTAACTCCCCGTCCAATTACCGTCCTATCTCGCTACTGCCTTTTGCACCCAAGATCATTGAAAGAGTTATGTATGCGAGATTGACAGACTTCCTCGAGTCCAATTCTCTGCTAGACACACTTCAGTCTGGTTTCCGCAACAGCACTGACCAAAGTATCCAATGATCTACTCGCTGCTAAATCTCGTGGTCACTACTCTATCCTAATTCTCCTTGACCTTTCTGCGGCTTTTGACACTGTTGATGATTAACAGCTTCTTCTCATCCTCTGCAATATCGGTCTACAAGATATTGCTCTCTTCTGGTGCTCCTCCTACCTCTCCCGGCGCTCTTTCAGTGTTTCTTTCTCTGGGTCTGCCTCTTGTCTCCAACTCCTTTCTGTTGGTGTCCCCCAAGGTTCAGTCCTACTGTGCCCTACTGTTTTCCATCTATACTGCCTCCCTTGGTAAACTCATTAGCTTATTTGCGGATGACACGCAAATCTATCTGTCCTCTCCTGGTCCCGCTTGACTAGTGTCTCTGACTGCCTCTCTGCTATTTCTAACTGGATTGCTGCCCACTTCCTTAAACTCAACTTGACCAAAACTGAAATTCTGGTCTTTCCTCCTTCAAGTGTTGCTACTCCTGTGTCTATCTCCCTCCAAGTCAACGGTGCTACCATCAGCTCCACCATGTAGGCTACGTGCTCTCTTTGACTCCCACCTCTCTTTCACACCTCATGTTCAGTCTATCGCCAAATCCTGCCGCTTCCATCTCAAAAACATTTCGAGCATCCGACCCTACTTAACGCCAGATGCGACTAAGGTGCTGATCCATTCCACTGTCCTTTCTCACCTTGACTACTGTAATCTGCTTCTCAGTGGTCTTATGTGCTCCCAACTTGCGCCGTTACAGTCCATGATGAATGCGGTGGCGAGGCTCATCTTCCTGTCCACCCGCACCGCCAACACCTCACCCTTCTGTCAGTCCCTACATTGGCTTCCTGTAAGATATAAGGCTCAATTTAAAAATCTGGTTCTTGTTTTCAAATCTCTACATAATGCTGCTCCCACCTATCTATCCTCCCTAATACACAAGTATGTCCCGTCTAGGCCCTTACGCTCTGCTGAAGACTTACGTCTATCTTCTGTCCGTACTCCCAGCTCTGATGCTTGCCTTCAAGACTTCTCGAGGGCTGCACCGTTCCTGTGGAACTCACTTCCCTCCTCCGTTAGATGCTCACCCAGTCTCCACTCATTCAAAAATAATCATTAAAAACCCACTTCTTCTTAAAAGCGTATCATTAAACTGTTAATAGCGCCTGACTGATTCCTCTCTTGCAACTGTCATTAGTCTAATACTATCCTTACCTTTGTGTCACTTTACCCCACTCCCTCTAGCATGTAAGCACATTGAGCAGAGCCCTCATCCCCTCTGTTCCTGTGTGTCCAACTTGTCTTGTTACAACTACATGTTTGTTCGTCCACCCACCGTAAAGCACTGCGGAATTTGTTGACGCTATATAAATAATAACATAATAATAATAATAAAAAAATAAAGTTAATATTAAGAAAGCCCCAGGGCCGGGTGGTATTCACCTACGAGAAACTAGGGAGCTTTTAGTTTAAAAATATCCATACCCCTGTTTTTAATCCTTCAGGATTATTTTCCTTCAATAATTGTATCAAGGGGTTGCATAAAAGCAGATGTGGTGCTTGTATTTAACAATGATTCTAGGGCTCAACCTGGAAGCTGTTTCTGCCTCAGTACCAAATATACATTAATTTTCTAGCACCATCACTGTGTCATTCTCCAGTCACATGCATCAATACTGATGAAGAACACTACCTATCTGCTACTATTTATAATACCAGCAATGCTCACGACCATAATATTGTGAGTATGCCTGCGTCAGTTTTGCAATGTAGATATTGAACGTTTTTGCATTGAAGTAACGACATTGACTAATAGGAGGGTTTCTTGACCTATTTAAACCCCCCTTTTGACCTTTGCACTGTCATGATCAGAGTGTTATATTCTCTGTTCTGTGATTTACTGGCATTAACCTTGGCTTATATTTTAACTCTGTGTATCTCTGTCATCCTGACCTTGCTAGTTAACTCAAGTTTCTGTACTTCTGTTATTGTTGGGTTTTTTTAAATTTATTATGAACTTTGTACTGTTTTTGCAAAAGAGCTCACTTCTGCCTTGTTTAAAATTAACTTATGTGCCATTGATTATTGCTGCCTCTACATAGAAAATGTAAATGAGGGGAAAATTGATTTTTCTTAGGTTGCTAAAACTCTATTTCCCTTACAGTGAAGTAGACAAATCTCTGTATCAACTATTGACGCCTACTGTCTTTTTCCCATCTGCAAGCTCCATGAAAAGTTTCTTAAGGTGTTACCAAACTTTTGAATTTTTCAATATGATTGATTATGTGAGATGTTGCCCCTGCGCTTTTGGTAGTAGTCCATCAAGCTGCTTATCACTTATTTTGAGAACATATCCGTGTGTGTTAGCTTGTTTAGCATTATCCATTTTCTTGCGCCTACAATCCAAATCTTTATGTGTAGCGCTATTACGTTAGTTACTCCACAGTGACTGGCCACCATTTTGATTACCAGAGTGTGATCTGGCTCTGTGCCCTCTTTGCCCGTAACTGTAACACGCATTAGTAGAACCTTCTTTCATTCTAAATGTAGGACTCACATTGCTCACTATTATCATTTAAGTTAGTACAATATTTTTTGCTATCTTGAAAAGGTCTTAATTGTGTCTTAAACTCTACAAAAAGGGTAGGTTTCCATCATTTTGTGTAATTTGAATGGCTATTAGCTTAAGTAACAATCTGTCACTTAAACGTAAAATAAATATATAAAAAAAGATGCCATATTACTATAAGATAGGTGTTTCATCTCCCTATGCTACCACCTTCCATGCAGCTGGTAGGGTCATATCTGCAAAACTGTCAAAACTAGTTACTGTGCTGTCATTGCTGCCCAGTCACTATAAAATGCCCTTTGAAATAAATGCAGGACTCTGCTGAGTCCACTTTAGCCTCATGGGCCAGTGGGGAGAGCTAGAGATCTGCCTGCACAGTTCTCATTGCAGGTCTGAACTTTCAGGCAGTGGGGTCTGTACTGAGTCAAGAGGTGCCTGACAGCCTAAAGGACCATTACGCAGCCAACCGTACAACCAGGGAGGCAAGATAATAGCTCCACCACCGCTGCAGAAAGCTATCATTGATCCTAAATGATTTTTTTAAAGTTTCCCTTACAGTGACGTAGACAAATCTTTGTTCAAGTCTGCTTCTTCACTTCACTTCTTCAAGCCTGCTGTCTTTTTCCCATCTGCAAGTTCCATTAAGAGTTTCTTAAGGTGTAGAAAAGTAGGGTGGCTACAGATAAACAAAGACAAAACAAATATAAATGAGCTGCACTGTGTGGGGAGGCTTGACAGAGGAACACAGTCTTGCCTCATACAATCTTCTCCACTCACCCTGCCATATTATTCTCTCACACTCACACCCCGAAACAGTCACCCTATGACATTTAGCCCCCTCAGTCATACTCACTACACACACACAGTCACTCTGTCTCACTCACCCTCCCACACTCAGTCCCCCATATTCATCTTGTCACTGTCAAATTGCCACTGTCACCTTGCCACACTCATCCTCATATACATACAGTCACCCCTTACATATAGAAACCCTCATACACATGTGGTCACATATCACACACAAGACAGCCTCGACATAAACACAACACACAAATCTGGATCACCGAGAGATACACATGTCCACAGACACAGAGATACACACATACAGATATGCATTAGAGACACAGTCTCAAATACACATACACTCACAGATGCACAAGGATACTCGCTGCCAGGGGCATAGTCCAATCTGCCTACACAATGCTAAACACGCGCAGGAACCAATACACACTGCCAGACACACAGTGTCATTATGTTACATATTAAGGTATGTTATTTATTTACAACATTTTTGCTCACTCGTTTTGTCATCACTAATTGTTTTTCAGCAATGCAAATACAAAGATATTCTGTGACCCCCAAAAAAATAATTTTATTCTATGAACCAGATGACGAAAAGTAAACAAAAAAAATATATTCATATCAAGCGTACAGATAAGATTTGTAATACTCAGGGAAAAAAAATGTGCAGTACCAGGTACAAAAGCAAATAAATAATATCTGACAATAAAAGTAGGCCTGTTCAGGATTGTAAATCTGGACAGACTGGTTATAGTTCAATCATTTCACTCTGTAGACAGATTAAAAATGAATCATGCAATTATGTTCACAAAAAATATTGCAGACATGTACCCTGCAATCTATATGAAATTGTGGAATGATTGTAGGCTCCAACTCCATAGATGGAAGCCTCTGTTCCTCACATGGGTGGAGAGAGCAGCTGCTTTTAGGATGTCCATTCTACCAAGGTTGAAATACCTATTCCGCACATTACCAATCCCGCACCAAAACACTTACTTCAAACTGATCCAAACAGAATTGAACAAATTCATCTGGGCTGGTGGGAGACCAAGAGTGGCATCAAAGCTATTACAGGCACCTAAGCTGCAAGGCCGCCTCGCTATCCCTAACGTACACCAATACTACCAGGCATCACTATTAGAAGCAGCTATACCACACTTGGTGGCAGCTACTCCCCACCAGTGGGCTCAGCTAGAACAACAGAGCATATTACCTCACGAGGTCCGCAACCTCATCTGGATCCCTAAACACCTACGCCCAGTAGCTTCCACACCCCCCCCCCCCGATTGCCTTGACACTCCAGATTTGGGACAGAAACTGTCCGCTAATGTCCCTCTATCACTAGCGACCCCCATAGCAGCACTACCATACTGGGTCCCCACTTTCAATACCAAGCCATGGTTAGAAAGGTAACTCACATATACCATATATGAGAATACTGACCTATTGGACGACCAAACCTTAACGTTACGATTTAACCTACCCAGGTCCTCACACTATTCTTACGTACAATTAACGTCTTTCCAAAACTTGACATCTATCAGGGTTTCTTTACTGTTTTAAACAGCAACCCTTCCTTTCTCTGTGTCTGAGCTTTCAGCTGACTTTAACGATCAGCTCCTTTATTAATGTTGCCACGGTTACTCACCTGATAGTAGTAACCAGCCCTGCTGCTAATCAGTGCAGCCTATTTAAGCAGCAAGTCGCAGTATCTACTTGCCCTTGCGGGGTTTCCTGTTTCCCAGAAGACTCCCTGTTTCCTGTGTGTTCCTGGTTCCTGACTTCTGGCCTTGTTCCTGACTCTGCTGCTCTCTGTTCTCCTGATCCTGACTCATCTGAATACCCGCTCTGGTGACTGACCCCTGTTTGCCTCCTGGACTTTGCTTTTGGTTATTTCTTTATTTGTTATTCATAATAAAAGTGTTTTGCATCTAGTTCTGTCTCTGTCTGGTTCCTGGTCCCTAACAACACCCCAGGCCGAGTACCACACACATACTATCCACTGCTACACTTACTAAATAGGAACAATTGTGTATAAATTAAAAGATGCCTCCTTTTTGGAAACCGATCTCTATGTGCTACAAACTTGTCACAGACCATATCTCATTCTCTGAATCTAAACCAGTGAAGCAATGGTACACACACTTGCAAAACACTCTCCCAGAAACAATGTGAAAACGTTTTTAAGTTAAACCATCAACTGATCAAATCAGCCACCCTCAAAGAACAACGTTATAAGACACTGTCCCGCTGGTATATGGTACCCAGCAGGCTACATAAGATGTCCCCCCCAAACTTCCGTCACCTGTTGGCGCTGCAATGTAGAAGAAGGCTCTTTTCTACATATACGGTGGACATGCACTGGCCTTTCAAACCTCTGGAAGGAGATTCATCACCTTCTATCTAAAAATGTAGAACACCCTATAACCTTCTCACCAAGGACCTATCTCCTCCTTGAGTTACCTAATCCCCTGCCACGCCACATAATCAAGCTAATTATGCATATAGCACTCACAGCCCAACAAATTATTGCCAGGGAATGGAAGTCCAACACGATCCCATCTCTTAAGAACCTCTCAGGG